TGATCATACAGGATTAAATTTTAAATTTAGATATTTAATTATTGATTATGGTATTTAGAGTATACAGTATTGTGTTAGTTTACCTGTAAGTACACATTAATGAATAAAATGTCTTTTGGCAGGTGAAGCCAGCTACACATTGAAATAATAAACTATACAAGAATAGCGAAAGGGAATTATTATCATAGAAAAAACATTTGGTTATATAAAGGTAAAATGAAAGTATTTCAATTAAAGTGAGCAGAAAGAAATTTAATCCTTCACATTTTGCAGTAGTTGATTATTTTTAATATTGTGAATTTCAATAAAATAATAAGATCATCCAGATCAAAAACTTAAAAAATATAAAGGGTTGTTCAGAAAAAAGTACAAAGATGAGAAACAACAGTCACATTTACTGTTACTTTAGGCATATAGACTTTCTGTGTTTTTAGTAAAGATTTAAAGATTAATAAGTGCTTGAAAAAAAATGCATTTAATTACATTTAAGTAAATAACTATTATAAGGGTGCTTACCAGCATGTTGCTTCTCAACAAGATCTATGTTGTTACTCACATAAAGGAAATCTTTTATACAGCGTCCAACTGATTCTACATGTCCAAAGTGAGTAATGGTGTGTGTGGTGGTGGTGGGGGCGGGGGAGATGGATGTTTGTGTGAATGTGAGCAGGGGAAAAACGAATCTGGTCCCGCGGCGCTTAAGCAGCTACCGTCTATGCATCTCTAAAATTTTACTGACCAATCAATAGATTTGCATGCCACCTTCTTACTTACTGTAGTTCAGTACTAGGAATAGCACAATGCTACTACTGGAAGGAATTTGTTCATGTAAAACTCTGAATACAGTGTGCAAAATGTTATTTTATGCAAGATTAAAAGTCTTTACGAAAAAAAAAAAGGTTAGCTTAAAACTGAGTGACTGCTTACTGTTGGAAACTTTGGCAAACCATGCATGAAAGCACAGATGGCTCTAAGTTTACTGCTCTGAAGTACTGGCTGCTCACCTCTGAAAACATTCATGTATTGCATTAAAAAAAGTTGAAACATAAAACACACCACAGATGAAAATAGATGTTGTGAAGTACTCTGAAATATAACTCCAGAACCATGGCAAGAGTTGAACAGAAGACTGTCAGAAGGCTCAGAACGTAAAAATTTAGGCGAGATAGACAGTGATATATTTAATGTTCAAATAGAAAACCACATACTTATAATTTCCCACTTAATAGTATGTACAAAATTTTATTAATCACAAGTGAAAAAAATTCCAGAATTGGTGGTTAATAGCATAAAATAATTTGCTTAGATAGCAGATGACACTAAATTCCACATTCAGTCACATGAACCGCTGAGGCGCTGTAGGATGCCGTGGCGTCAGTTTAGTAGGAAGTAGAGGAACACATCCATTAGAGCTTGCTCATTCCAGGGACTCCAGTCACCCAGGAGGTGGAAGTCGATTATATAATCACGTGCATGAAGAGATGCAGGGTTTGGAGGCAGAGAAGAAACTCATTTTATATGATTATTCCTATTACAAAGACCCACAACAAAAAAATTCTATTTTGGCAGAAACGTGTGTGATTTATCTTGATGGTGAGATTTAATTATGTCGTATTAAATTTAAGCATTCATTATCGTATGTTTTTCTCCCTTGAATTAAATGATAATATGGCGCATGCTCTCCTCAAGCTCCAAGGGAGTCAGAGCGGAGCAAGACGGGAGGAACTGCAGAGACTGTAGCCTTTGCTGGAGGAGGATGTGGAATCTTGGGATCAGTCATCCCACATGGCGTGCTTTCTTGTGATTTACTTATACAAAGGAGCTTTGTGATTGGTGGCAAACCATTCTTTGTTTGAAAAAAATGCATTTGTGAATCGAGGTACATCAGAAGAATCTCAAAAATCCACACACAATTGCAGTGAAGTTTAAAGACTTCTAGAACTTTGTAGTTTAATTTATAATAGTTTATGGACCAGAAATACTTTGGTGAATCTTGTTCTGTGCATGTGTTGATCTGTGTGCTTGCATGAATTGTGCTGTGCGTGTGTGGATTTTGTTCTGTGTGTGCCTGGATTTGTTTGTGCTTGTGTGAATCATGCTGTGCATGTGTGGATCTTGTCCTGTGTATGTATGAATCACATATGTGTATTTGTGAAAATTGAGATCGATCTAGCTCCATAGCAGTGAGCCTCCCCCATTTAAAAAGGATTGACAAGTGGTCAGTCTCAGCAGCTTTACCATGCAGTTTTTTACTATGTAGTTTTTAACATATTTAGAGTGTTTTTATTTACTTTTTGTCTTGGATGAAAGTATGACTAAATATGTAAATTATATAATGGTGTCATTTAGTGCCTTTAGGTGACTTTTAGGACAGTTATTAGAGATTTTCCTTGCTGAAAAGTTGGCAACTGTTGGCTACCTAATGCTTCAAACTTTCCCGCCTGAAGTCATATATTATAGACGATACCCAGGTCAAACTGGGTTAGAAATTGGTACTCCTTCTAATGGTTTTATCCTCCTCTTTTTGATAACCATTATTTTTCAAGACAGCACAGTCCATTTCACAAACATAAAGGAGGCCGTCCTACCCTGTTTCCCTGCTATAGCCTGTCAGTAAGGGGCCCTTAGAATTGTACTAACTTTTCTCCTCTATACATAACTACTGTGTTAAGAGGTTAAGCAATATTTTTCATTGACATTTTTAAGCAAGCACATACAGACACACACACACACATGCTTGACGTCACATCTACGGAACAGCAAGTGAACTTCCAAATAACAGTACATTCAGGGAAACATGGACATAGTCTTATGAATGCATTAGAACTAAATTACTGAGGTGTCAGTTCGCTCATCAAACCATGTTTTAGTCGTAAAGGTCAAATAAAAAGGCTGTTTTAATTTTTTTTTATCTTTATGCACATAATATCTCTTTAAGGAGTTGTCCTTGTTATGAAATTATTGTAATTTTAGATTCTGTATAGACAATTGAGAGAAAAAATATTTATATTAACTGGACAGTTAAATTTAGGAAGTAACTTTTGAAAACCATCTATGACAGCTGGCTTGTTTACATGACACATGGACATGGAGATGCAATAACTTGCCCAGTGATGGTGAATTAATTTGCTAAGCGAGTAAATGTGTCCATTCTTCTATCAGTGCTAGTATGGTTGTAATACTTGATAGAAATAATTTCTAGCTTATATTATGAAACTTAAACAATGGTAAGTATTGCATCCATTACATGCTGAAAATCTTTATTATACTTTATAATACTACTATAGATAAGAAGCCTAATAATAGCATTGTCATCCCTAGTATCAGTATTAGCAATGCTGTGTACTCACATATCCATCGACCAAGCAGCAAAACCAGAATGCTTCTCTGGCTTCAGTGAACACTAATGTTCACACTGTATTCCCAGCACTGCATAATTCCTCTTGGCTTTCTTTCTTTTTTATTATTATTTTTTTTCTTTCTTTCTTTTCGTCTTTGTAATGAGCCAAAAGGGCACCATAATTAAATCAGCAGAACTCAGCAAGCTACTGGCACAGACATTCAATACGAAACTTACGCTCCACTTCCCTGCTTGTTTCACTGCCTATTTTCCAAGTCTCCTGCTGTAAGTTTCTCATTTGATTTATGAATATCACTTACACTTACTTACTCTGCCTACACTTTGGTCCTGCCAACAATGCCTCGTGTATGAGAGAACAGTAACGTTGAAATCATAAAATCCTTAAATACACATTATTGAATCTTTTTCGAGTGAAGTTCATTTGGCGAAGAAAAGGTTCATTGAAATATCATATAGGGTTTCATACAAGACTATAAAGCAAAATCAGATGTACACACTCCATTAATATTAATGTGAACTCACCTTACATACTAAGTGCCCTTTCAGATGCTTCCTGAAAGTTTTATCCTTTATGCCATAGATGATTGAACTAATAGATCTTGGGAGTATTTGGAAAATGATATAACAAGCAAACAGAGAGTCTGAGTAATACTTTGGAAACCATTGCAACACTGCCTCTTTCACCTGATGTTCTGCATACCCCGCCATACACAACAGAAGCTGAAATCCATGGAGGAGGATTGTGTTCCTCGCCTTTTTAGCATCTTTACTTGCTGATCTAGCTGTGAATAATATCCGAAAATAAGTGTAAAATATAACACACCAAACTAGAACCAGATATACGGTATAGGTAATATTTCTCCTTTCGATTATTTTGGGATTTCGAAAAGCGGTTTCCCTGAGGCAAAACACATGTTGATTAAAATAGTCGAGTGGTTCTGTGGCCAAGGTAATGAAGAGATCAGGGAGAACAGACAACATGCTGGTGGTCCAGATCAGAGAAATAAGCAACCGTGTTCTTTTGATTGTGCAGATCTGAGGATGACGAAGAGGAATGCAGATGGCGATGTAACACTCCACTGCCATGCAGGCCAGGTTCAGTGGGGTGTTTTCAGTGGCAAACAGGGCAGTCAGGATTAAGATGCAACAGACAAACACTTGTATCTTGTAGATGATGTAGCTTATTATGAAAAGAGTCACAGTCAGCGACACTTGGATCATGTCATTGATCACCAAGTGAAAAAACAGGATGTACCGAGGATTAGTGTAGAAGATCTGGAGATGAGACGAAAAGAGCAGATATGACAATGGTTATAAAAGTTAAAGATGCAATAAAATGTTGAGAGATAGACCGGATAGGACATGAGGTTTCATGTGATGCTGTTTGCACAGCTATGGAGTGTTGCATTGACATTAATAATTCAGATTAAGATAAAACAGTTATGGTTATTTAATTAATTATAAAGGGTCTGACTTTGGTTTGAAATTGGTTTGCATGAAAAAAAAACCCTCAAAGGTTTATCGTCATTTTTTTCCCTTTTAGTCTTTATTATAATCCTACTTATTTCCCCTTTATCATTAGAAAATATTATACATTTACACTTAAAGTTTTTAAAACCAGCTTGCTTACCTATCCTTTTTTTCTGTTTTGTCCATAAGTATGATATTTTTAGATCTTAGAGTTCACAAAACATTTCTGCATTATGCCTGAACTCACTACTAAAGCTGTTTTACAGAACCTGTTTTTAACCCTTGTTTTTAAATGTGTTAGTTTTATTAGTAAAGTCACACCTAAATGACAGCAAAGAAAACAATTTCCAAACACAACACTTTTCTTTAGGACACTTTGACTGACATACAGCTAATATTGCTAATATGGCTCACTTTTGCAAAAACTAACTTTACAAAGTGGCTTTTAAAAATACAATGTAATGTGAGTGTGTCAAAATACTTATTTCCAAAAATAGGTCAAGTTATATAACCTTCAAGCTCGGTTGGACCAGTCATTGTGCTTTAGGATTTTTTGTGAGACAAACTAGTAATAAATGTTAAATGATATTCAGTTCCCTTCATTCTTTCAAAATACTTCTAAATAAAATCATTATAAGAAAGGAACCTGATTGGGCATCAAGCTTAGTGCTAAAACATAAAAAACACAGAGTACAGTATTTACCTAATGCCCAGTCAAGTTTAAAGCAATTCACATTGGTGACTAAATATCTCTCAGTGAGCTAATCTAACAATCGTAAAAACAGCACCTAACTGTTCAGTGAGATTTGCAGAACGACTCTTCCCAAACAGATTTAAAGCTTAGAACTTCTACCTCTCTAGATTTGAACTGAAATTTGGATGAAGGACACGTTCACCCACAAAAACTGAACTCTGATTACTTTATTTTCTAATCATTTTTGGGCATGGACAGAAATATAGTGGCTCAGTTCAAAACATACCTATAGGTTAAGGTTACAATAACCAAGTCAGACACCAGACTCCAGGAGAAGCAACTTAAACTTTTCCTCCCACATCACTTTTGTGTCTCATGAATAACAACAAATTACATTGAGGTTTTTGGTTTCATCATGAGAACATGTAAAAAGTTCAAATTTTTAAATGTTTAAGCAAATAACGATGTAATTAAATATACTATTTAATTTAAATGCTGGAGCCTGGCAAAAACAGGATTAATACCTGATGATTTCAATACCATAATTCGTTTCCTGGTCTATTTATATTTATCAAATCAATTTATAAGGCAGTACAAGCAGTCAAATAATGTCTGACCTGGTGTTCACAGAAGGTACGAATGATTCCTGCATTGATGTAGTTTATGGAAATGCTAAGGACCACAACAATGACATTCTTTATCACAGCCTTGGTAAAGGAATCCCGATAATCTAAAACCACCGTCACATTAGCTGCAGATACATTCATCTCTTTAAGCCTGTCAGGGGAAAATAACAAAGTGTTAAATATTTTCAAATTTCAAATGCAACATCTAAAACATTTCTCTGTTTTTGCTTTCCACAACAGCTAGTATGTGTTGAACTATAACACCTAAAAGGTGAATAAGCATGATATAGTTCTGATCCTTTCAACCAAATGTTTGTATTTTTGTGTGTTGAAAAAAAGTCAGCATGAATGACTAGATGAGTCTGACTCTGCAGTATCTTGATTTGTCATTTAGTGTTTTGCACATTGTACATCAGCTTCAGATATGGCTCACACATCAGTAAAGATGGCAGATCAACAAATCTTAAGGAAACATTTCCTTGTGAACTTAAATGCATAAACTATACTAAACCTTAAAAAGGGCACAAACCGGAAGAGAGATTTAATATATCCTGATTTTTAAACATCCTGTTAGTTTATATAACATTCAAAAGGCCTTTATAAAGGCTGGGGAATGCCAGCACCAATCCATACTGCTAACAGATACCAAAGTAATAGGTAATTTAATCTTTTTACTGATTTTATGTTAATCTGTTAATCTTTACTGAGCCTTTATGTGCAGCCTTGTAAGTAAAAATAATAAAAAGCAGTTTAAAGTGTCAAGCTCAGACTCATAAACGGGATAGCATTATATAAAAGCACATCATAATAGAGAAAGAGGAGCCAAGCAACAAAAATCCATGCAAACATCTACACAGAATAGTTGCTAAATTAAAAAATCACAATGTAACTGCGATAAATATTTAAGCCAAAATTGTAATTTCAGATCAGAATGTAAAAGTTTAAAATTTTCAAAAGTTAAGATAAATGCACTAACCTTAAGTTCAGGATGATCTTTTCTTAACCTGTTCTTATTCAGAAATATTCAATACTGATTTAACTTAAAAGGCTCAATATTACTGTTTTACTTCTTGGTTACTTATTTTTCTTAGTGCCAAACTTTTTTGACAGGCTGTACGTTGGCAGATTAATCAATGCTAGAATGATGCTCCATACTTTATATAGTTTAATTACCATCAGCCTAAAGGTTCATGGGTGTGCCTGAGCATACGTAGAAACTCTTAGATCCTGCATGTGAATAGGTGTGTGTTTATCTGTGTTTTACATGATGAAGCCTCCAAAGTTCTTACTTTAGAAATCCTAAATTAATAACTAATAGGTTATTAAGACAGTTTTAAAGACTAAAGTACTTGCTCAATTGTTGGAAAAGTTACTTATTATATACTCCTGTTAAACAAGGACGGACCCTTTTAATTCCACTAGAATATGGACATTTTTTCCCCCCAAAGAAAAATAATGATATCTTTGATCTCATAATATTGATCTGAGGTTTGTTGACAGTTGTTTCTGCACAGTTCATCTAAGGTCCCAGAACAGGTAGTTTTACTGACTTCAAATACTTTCGAATTTCCCATATAAGTTTTATGAAAATGGAAGGAGCTGGAGGTGGACTTCTATGGGCACAGACCCGCCACACTGACACCAGTAAACATCTCCGGGGATGATGTTGTGATAGTGGACTTGTAAGTTTCTGTTTTACCCTAACAATTAACTAGACTGGAGTAACAACACAGATAACTCTTACAGGATGGGTCAAAGCTGCCTCTACTGCCTTGTCGACTAATTTGCTGTGGATTGCCACACATATATCTTTCATTCTGTGGTGGTAAAAGTCATATTAGACTGTGTTTTACACTCACCAGCTACTTTAGGTTCACCTTGCTAGCAACAAGTTGGACCCTCTTTTTCCTCAAGGTCTGCCTTAATTCTATGTGGTATAGATTCACTAAGCTGCTGGAAACATTCCTCCTCACCATTTTGGCATGATAACATCACGCAGATGCTGCAGGTTTGTTGGCTTCGCATTCAAAAAGTTGCATTACATCAAATCCCAACAATGCTCATTTCAATTGACATCTGGTGATTGTGGAGGCCATTTGAGTACAGTAATCACATTGTCATGTTCAAGAAGCCAGTCTGAGAGTGTTCACACTTTATAATATGGCCCATGATCCTGCTGGAAGTAGCTTTTGGAGAATGGGTACACTGTGGTCATAAATAGATGGACATGGTCAGCAAAAATACCCAGATGGGCATGATACTCAGTTGGTACTAAGGGGCCCACATGTACCAGGAAAATGTCACCCACAAAATTACATCACCACCAGGATTAACTGTTGATACAAGGCACAATGGATCCACCCTTTCACGTTGTTGACCCCAAATTGAATTTGAATGTCACAGCAGAAATGGAGATTCATCAGAAAAGGAAATGTTTTATTAATCTTCTATTGTCCAAATTTTGGTTAGCCTGTGCAAATTATAGTCTCATTTTCCTGTTCTTAGCCGATGTAGCTCATCCACCTAAAGGTTTAAAGTGTTAGGCATTCATAGATGCTCTTCTGCATACCTCTGTTGTAACAAGTGGTCATTTGAGTTACTGTTGACTTTCTATCAGCTCAAACACGTCTGGCCATTCTCCTCCAACCACTGGCATCAACAAGGCATTTGTGCCCACGGACCCACCTGTCTGACACCAACAATCATGCTGCTTAAAAAACTTTTCTTCCCCATTCTGATGCTAAGTTTGAACTGCAGCAGATCGTCTTGCCCATGTATACACCCCTAAATGCAGTGAGCTGCTGCCACATGATTGGCTGATTTGAAATTTGCATTAACGTGCATTTGGACAGGTGGAGCTAATAAAGTGCAGAGTGAATGAAAGTTAAAGTAGTAGTTATTCTGCAGCTAAAAGGAAGCAGTTTAATCGTTCAGAAGGCCAGCTCTTTTCTAGGGTGCTCCTTGGTTACTGTGCAGGTGGTTGGAGACAGAGGGAATTTAAGGAAAAATCTCTGCTGGACAGTGTTGTTTTCGCCAAAGATGAGGATGACGAAATCAATTCGTTGATGCTCCTTTTTTTCGTGAACATAACGAAAACTGCCAAGCTAAACATGGATCTTTGATGACTAAAACATGACGAGTCATAGGTTTAAGCTTTAGTAAACAAGACAAGACTAAATAAAAAATAGCGGTTGGTCGGTCAGACATTTAAACTGCATCATTGCTGTAATCAGCTAAGCAGTATCATATGTGCTGCTGCTTGTTCATTGATCCTTCTGCCCACCTGCCGTGCAGCGCTACACATGCTGCAGGAGCACAGATGGATCATGGCAGAAGCGGAGGCAGGGTCTAAGAAAAATAACCTGGATTGGTCCGGCACTGCACAGTCAACACTGACAAACTGCTCTGATCTTCCATCTGTGCTTGTGCAGAAACGCGGGCGGAGCTCCAAGCCTGCGCTTCACGCTCCACACTGATGGTTCGCTCTCAGCAGTATGGCTCTTCCATCGCTACTTAATAAACTATGTGGCTGATCATCCTCTGCCAAACATAAAAAAATCCCTTTGCTATCAATATTTTATTTCTTCCAGCTCACAAGACGTGAAACTAAACATTCTTTAAGGAATTACTAAATTATATCCAAATAAAATATTTGATTGCATACTGTTTATCTTTGGATAAAGAGCCAGATGAAATGGTACCTAGATCTTTCAACATTTCTTTCTGATGGTTTTCATTTGTATCTATTTAAATATGACATAGACGTTTCCTTGTATTGTCATTAAAACATTTTCTATGTTTCCTTTGAATATTACATTTTAGTTAACATATAAATTCGATTCAGATCTGGATTGCCATGGCAGTAGCAGGCAATTATGTAGTTTCTCTTTGTATTTGTTTTATATCAAAACTCTGTGAATTTAAATCTACTTTACCCCTGAGCAGCGATAACTAAGGTGAAGATTCTCAGAAATAAAGCCAAAAATGCCAAAGTAGGAAGAAGAATGTCTTTGTTATTTGCTTTTTTTGAGCAATGAAGATTTTATTGATCTGTTTGAAATGCATAATTCATAGTAGATCAGGAAGTGTTTGCTTTCGGACGGGAACCTTGTATTTTTAAAATCATTACTTTATTGTGCATTATTGTACATGATGAACTGCACGGCAGCATTCTATACCCAGCTATTGTAGTATCTAGGCAAGAGCTGTCAGTCTGGTAAAGAATCTGGTTGTTATTCGAAATTGTAAAGGTTAACTTTTTTTGCAACATAAAACTGAATAAAACCTTTTTAAGTTTTAGTGGACCAAAACCGACCAAAACTATCACATATCATAATGACTAAAATGCGACTAAAACAAATAATAGTTTTCGTCCTGAAGAATAAGACAAAGACTAAATCTAAGATGGCTGTCAAAAACAACACTGCTGCTGGACAGTATTTTCTACCCCATTAATGAGGCTGACAGACTGTCTTATCCTAGATGTACAAAGGAACTCTAAAGAGGTTAAAACAGATGGTACAACCATGCTGGTAATGACATGGCTATCTGATTATGTGCGGGTTTTGGTCTTATGCATACCTTAATTTGCTCATTTTCTTATCTGCTCAATATTTTGTTTGGTACACCATCATCCTTATCTGCACAGATGTTAATGATTATTTACACACTTTTTTTTACCTGCTCTGTTGTTTTTCTGCAATCATGTTTCATCAGTTTTCAGTTTTTTTGTCTTTCTGAAAAGGGCTGGTATTTATTTTTTATTCTTATCATTATTACCTATATATATATATAATTTTTTTTTTACTGTTTTTTTCTCTTCCTCGTTTTCTTTTACAGTTTTAATTTAAAATGTACTTGTTTCTTTATACTGTTTTGTCAAAGGAGCAATAATATAAAAAGAAAAAAAATAGCATAGTAAGGGACTCAAAGTATCCTTTCAGATGAACTATAATAAGACGTCTCACACCATCTCTCTATGTTGTTCTCTACTCTCTTGTTTACATTGCTGGTCTGGCCATACAAGCAAATACTTGAATGTGTGTGCATGTGCGTGCATGGAGTGCATATACATGTATGTGAACCCCTGCCACTCAGGGCTTAGCATATGAAAAAAAGGCAGGAAACTGAGGAAACTTACAGTAGATCTCACAGAGTATATCTTAGCTAGACTTAGACTCAGCTTTATTGTCCTTGGGATTTCTCCTTCAGAGAAATTCTTCTTCCAGTAGCTAATACATAGTACAAAGGACAGAGTTAAAGTAACATTCCATCAAAGATAAAAATACAACAGACAATATTAATCAAAATAAATGTGAAAATATATCAACCAGCATAAAGTTGTGTCAGTCTCAGTTTTATGAGAGGAATCAATGATATTATTATAATTATTATTGATATTAATTAAATCAACATTAAACTACCTCTTTTATTTGCATTTTATTAAGTTTGATGTAGTGTTAATTTTGTCTAAAAACAAAATGCTCAACAGTGAAATTTCACCTAGTTTCACCTAATTTGTTAAACTTATAATAGCTTCCTTGTTCTTTAATTGAATAACTGTTCAACAATTTTTTGTTAAACAATAATATAGAACTTGACAGGAATACGTGTATGGAGTCAAACATTTTGTTCAAATTACTACAAGCACCTAAAATACACTAAATATTTAATGATGTGCCAATTCATAAAGTTTTGCACATAATAAAGTTGTTAATTTATATGTTTTAGCAGTCTATATTATATATTGAGCTTATTTAGGTGAGATTAACCAGAGATATTCATAATATTCTTGGTGAAGTATTGTTAGGGAAAAATTGTTTTTGTGCTGCAGTGTTCATTTTGTCAGAGTTACTTAAATTAGTGAGAAAACAATCAAAAACAAAATCGACATTAAATAGAGTAGAATATTTTTTATCACCAAAATGCATTAGTGTGGAAGTAAGCATTAGAGCACAGCCCTTTATACCTCATTTAGAGGTAAAACAAAAATAGATTATGTTTATAAGTTGAGATTTTTCTTGGGCTTTTAAAATTATTTAAACAAAAATATTTATTTTTGCTTGATTT